CGGTGCAATGTAGAATCCAGTGTTGCCAATAATGTTTACTCCTGATTTTTTAGACATTTCTGCTAAAACTTTCAAATTTTTTCCAAAAGTAGTAACTTCGACTACCGTTTGACCGCCGTTTTGCTTAAAAAAGCACATTTCATTGCTTATAGCATGTTGAATTTCTAAAGAGGTGAAATCCAAGTTGCTCTCATGAGTGTATGGATGGTATTTGGTGTACCACAAGTTTTCAATTGACACCGGTTTAGAGTTTATGTCACTGTGGGCACACGGTTCAGTGACAGGCACAAACGTTTTTGTGTACGATTTGTGATACAAATGCTCGTGACACATTGTAATTCCTGCATCTTCTGGTTTGATTGGTCCCAAAACTATAGGGGATTAATAGAAATCAAAATAAAAACTTTAAAAATAATTTTTTTTAATGAAAACTGAAGTCACAAACCCGTCTGAATGCTTCCTCTCGCTAAACCGGCCATTATTTGCAAGCGAAAGAAGTGGTGGAAGTTGCCGCAAAGAAATGATCAGTTAGAGGTGTCGATTTGTTTGTGCTAGTATGCTCTCATGTATAATGTTCAGTATTGTTCAGCATGTTCAGTATTGACAAAGTCAGCAGACGATGCCACTGATTAGATATCCTCCATTTGTGGATGCCAGCTTTTTTGGAGAGTCTGGACAGAGGTGAGCCTTCATGAGCCTCTCTTTCTCTCTTTCTCGCTTCTTTTCATTTGCCTGTCTCTCCTGATCATGTCCATAAGACAAGGAGGCAAATCAGTCAGTCGACCGATACTGAACGCTTCAATGCCGCTTCATTGCCCTATTGACCACAATTTCTATTTGCAATGGAAATACTAGCCTTGGAAAAACACCGATATACACGAAAAAGTTAGTTTTAATTTGTTAATTAACATTATGAGGTTTATTACTGTTTATGGTACATTAAATAGTTACAGAAAAATTAGAGTTCTTAACATTAATAAGCGTAAAAACCTCGTGAGTATGTTTAACAAACAAAAAATAATAAACAAATAAAAAAGTTATAGTACAAAAATTTAAAAATGTTTATATTTTTCCATTGATAGTATACCGCAGAGCCCATGTGAAAATCAACAGAAAATATGAAACGAGAAATCCAAACACGTAGTCTAAAATAATGTTAAAATTGAAAAATCTCTGCTTAGCTTCAATGTCACCCGTTCTTTCGATACGTTTCTGCACTAGACCGGCATCAGGTTTTCGAAGGTCATAGGCTAATCCAAGGTAGGCGCAAATGTCAATGAAGCAAGTGGCTGGATTGAAACACTTAGTCCAGCCGTGCTCGCTTGCCGAGTAGTCCCAAGGAAAAGCGTGGTGGTAATTGTGAAATCCTAATTTGATAATGAATGTTAGTAATCTTAAAAGTGTGAGACAGTTATTTACAAACGCACCTTCTCCAAGGCTGGTGTATATCACAAAACGATTTTCTCTCGGTTCGAGCGTCTTGTCGTACATCTGGTACCCATACAGGTGGGCAGCAGAGTTGACAAGCCTATGATGTGCAAAGTGGTTGTTGTTTTTCAAAAAGTATACTAAAAACAATTAAAAAGAATGACTTACCAAGCGTAGTGCAGTGAGAACGTGTAACGGAAGATGACGGCGCCAAAGAAGCATTCAAGCAGTGGAACACCGGTCACGTAGTGGCACACATAAGTGGGAAAAGCAGCCCAAATCAAGAGAACGAGAGGAATGTAGAAACGGCGCTGAAATCGAACCACCGGATCGGCCCACACATCGGAAAGGTCGATAGTTTTGCCTTGAAAGCACAACAAGTTAGTATTCAACAGGTGATCAGCTTTTTGTTTGCATTAATAAACACTTGTTCAGTAGCCTTGAACATTTTACTCAAGACATCTTGGTAGTTTTACATCATTTCTATGTTTTTTCTACTATTTGAAAATAAAAGTTTTGCAAAAAAGATATTTTTTAAACCTAACTTTTATTTAACCTAGTTTTATGCGAGTGTTCTACATTGATACTTTGACGCCACAACTGTTTTGCAAAACTTCATCACACAGAGTCCTGGATGCTCTTCTTATCAAGAGATACATCTAATACTTTGACTAGTTAGGAAGTTTCTAAACGGATATTTTTAAAATAGCTGCACAAAGATAAGCACACTATCGTGCACTTATTTCGCATTAGTCTAATTTAAGAAAAGTAAATGCTTATAAAAATTTTTACAGTTTTGCAACTTTTTTATAACTGAGACTGAGCGGGACAACAAATCAGTAAACTCATCAAGTGCCTTAAGCAAGATGAGCAGTGCACTAAAAAAAGTAGTTGATCTAGCCACAAAACGACTTTTAGTGCAGTTGATTAAATAAAAAACTCGGTTGAAAAACAACTTTGCTACTACTGCAAATGACACACTGATGCTGAGAGAAAAATGTTGAGAAAAATGTTGTTTCCAGCTATAATTTTTTTTGTTTCAAAATTTACAAATTTTAATTAACAAAATTTTCTCTGTTTTCTGATATATTGCTAGCTTTTGGTTTTTGTTGTTTTCAAGCACCTGCTGTAAAACTGATTGAGTTGATGCAACCATAGAAAAAAAGTTTGTGAAAAACAATAAATAAATGGCTGAAGCTGGTCATTTCAAGTTAGCATCATTGCAATATGGCTGACCCACTGCAGACGCAGTACTCTTGTTCTTTATCTCTCCCTTTCCACTTTTTCTCATTTTCAAGTGAGGTTTGCACAATCAGTAGCGCACATGTGTTCACAGAGTGTAATATTGCGATGGCTCTAAGAAGCGTAAGATGTGGCTCTCCATGTGGTCATTAAGAGACGTGAAGGACACACTAAATGGATCAATGTGTCCAGTGATGCACGAGCTGTGTCTGTGTGTCTCTCTGTGTGTGTGCCAGACAATGCCTAACACCGTTTGTTTGCTTTGCATTTGCTTAGCGGTAAAGTGCTAGTACAGGTGTCAAGTGCTTCTATTCTAAGAAAAGGGGCAATTTGGTCAAGGAGGTAAGCACAGGCTTCACACTGAAATGCTCTCTTCTTTGCTGCCTCTTTCTATTGACTGTCTATTTGTATGTTTAAAAAAGTGATAGGAAAAAAGAGCAGCATTTACATCGCTAGTTTTCACCAAACTTATTAAAAGTTCATCAAGCTCTATTTGATCTAAATTATTCTATTTTTAAAAAGTCAATACTAACCTTTACGAATGACGTCAGGATGCTTGCGCACCATCAGCCAGCCCTAAATGAATGCTCATTAGTGAGTAAATAGGCTTAAATCAACCAATAAAGGTACCATATGAGAAAAGAAGAAGCCTCGTCTGGCATTGTATGGATCAGCATTAGTATCACTGTGCTTGTGATGCAGTCTAAAACAGAGAAATACAGCATAAACAAGATGTTAAACGTTAACTGCAAGATTTTGATAAATAATTGAGATCTCAAACCTGTGGTCGCGACACCAATCGTAGATATCATTTTGCAGTGACATTGTATGCATGATCATCAAGACAATTCGAAGAGGAAGGCGAGCTTTGAAAGCGCGGTGAGACCAGAGTCTGTGACTACCTGTAAAAGAATATGTGCGTTAATTTGGTATGTCTATTTCTTCATATTAATGTTTAGCTTTTAACTAAAAAATGGTTTTCTTTAACTATCCTTCTTTCTTAAAAAAATTTTAACTAAAAAGTATGCTACTTAAATCTGAAAGAGATTAATTCAAAAAATCACTTACCAGCAAGTACTCCCATAGAAGCGAATCGAGCAAATGAGTCAATGAGCACCATTCCCCACCAGGGAATATCTGGATTCATGGCCATCATGATGTAGCCATACAGGGCAGCCACATGCAAGAGGAACATGCTGATCACATTACGCCAGACGATGGTGCGCTTGTAAGGCACCGGCTCCGCCAGCAGGTCCTCCTTTGCTTGGCAGCACATGTCTTCATAATCATCACTGTTGGAAGACGTTTTGGTCTCCTTCTGAGCGACACTGAGATTTCTCTCGCGAACTGAATCACTCTCGGTCATTTTCACAACGTATATTAAACAGAACAACTATTTTAAAGGGGAAGCAGTCTTTCGGCGACACAGGTGTAGTAGGCACGAGCACACACACACACACAACGCCGCACATGTGATGATTGCCGGTGCACAGTGGAATGGTGGTGAAGATGGTGGAGATGCAAATGTCAAGCAATGTGCTTGTCGCGATCGAGATGGGAACAATCGCCAAAGACAACAACAAAATGTCGGTGGTCCGACAGAGTGCTAGAGTGATGAGAGAAGAGCGTCCATGTAGTACATTTAAATAGTTCAGCAGTACGGTGGAGCGGTTTCGCCGTCACTTCGATTGTGGACTCAGTCAGAGGGGAAGCATTCGAAAGCAGAGAAGCCGGGAAGGACGATTGTTCTGAGTGGCTGCACAGTGCAGCAATGTCTCCACGCAGGGCGCAATTAGGGCCGAGTGTGTGCGCCTGTCTGTCTGTCTGTCTGCGCTCACTGCCGGTGGACAAGTGCTCCTCCAGTCATTGTGACACTCGCCCTGCGCTACTTCGAAGTACGGTCGAACTGCATCACCGGCGGAAAGCTCACCTCAGTAGCTAGCTGCTAGCTGGCCAGATAGATAGATAGACACTTGAGCGTTGAAGCTCTTGAACACCACAACGACGCCTTCTACGTGTAATGACTCACACATGACCACCACCACTCTTCAACGACTGACCGAACTCGTGCTTGGCTTGGCTTTGCTTGACAACGAAAAGAGAAAGAAAGAAGGAGAGAAAGAGAAACCATCTTTTTTCTCTCTTTCTCCTGTTGAATCAATAGTCTGATGGAACGTTGCCGGTTTGGGTTGGCCCACCGATTAGTTGACTCTGTGGCTTGCGACAATTGTGACTTTCTCACTCTCACTCTCCAACACTCTCTTCCTAATGCTGTCATCTTTTTGATGAGTCCAAGGCAACTAGTCAATGTCTAACATAGCCTAGCTAGTCTCGCTCATTTAGCAGACACATTTGTACAATGCTGATGAACATTAAGAGAATCAATGACAGTTTCCACGATTTGGGAAATGCAAAAGAAATAAAAGAAGAAAGCAAACACTTTAAACTGACTTTTAGTTGATGCTTTTTGCCCATATTTGATGAAGTGCTTTCTCAAGATTAAAAAATTAAATGTGCAATATGACATTTTTTCCCTAATTGTCAAAAAGTATTCAAATGCAGAATGACGTTATCAAAACAAGGTTTTGGGAAAAATAAAAGTTGGTAAACGTTTCCTACTGTTTTCGGCGTTGCACTCAAACACGCGCAAAAACTAATTTACTTTTTCAATTTTTTCCCGTGCGCTTCAGCGCTCATTGTTATTGCTTCAGATAATTATTTTTGCCGTGAGTACGGTTGGTTTATATAAAGTTCATGAAGCAAAACTAAATGCTAAAGCATCATTTGTGTAAAAAATATATGCTGCATGTTAAAGCTGTCCATTATTGTCATTGCAGTTTTAATTTATTAAAAACTTTACCAAAACTTTTAAGTTAAACGGTGTCACCTTAAGTGCTAATATTAGCATATATAAAAATGATTGATGAAATAATTCAAAAATGTTTGAAACATTACTTTGTAAAATATCACTACAATGGTACTTCTTGTTATGTAATTCAGTCAAAGGTGCAGTGTTTATTTCCTATTACCGTTTGTGAATTGAACTAAAGATTATCTCAAGGATTAGCTAACAATGCCAGAGGTTAACTATAGTAGCGTTTCATCGACTTGATTATGATATGGGCAAAAAGAAAAAGAAAATACTATTTCAGGCTAAATAATATGTGCAATCAGATAAATAATGCTTATGCAAGTTACCAATTATATAAATAAGTGATGTTCAATTGAGTATTTGTTATTTAGTTGGCAATTGTCCTTGGTAACAGGAAGATAACAAGTGCCAATCTGATAGCGCGTCAAATGATCAAGGGCTGGATAAATTCAAGGGCAAGAAAAAAATAAGGAACCAATTGAGTATTTTGTTAAGTTAAAAACAATGTTGGCATAAATTGTATAGATGCTATAAAAGTGCACTAATAAGTGACCTGACACTCTAAAATACGATTTTTCAAATTTTTATTGAAAAATTAAAAATGTTTACCGATATTTTCATCTTAAAGTGTGTTATATGCTCAAGTAATAGTTTCAAATATTAATAATTTTTTGCACTTGAAAATGACGGAAAATTGCTTCTGGCTATAGGTCTAGAGCCACTCTAAAGCAAATTAAAATTAAAATTGAATCGTCAGATAGCGAGCGAATACTACATATTAAATTTGTGAGGTTAATTGCAGTTGCACTTTCAATCGGCAATTTATGTCAATATCATCATGCATTTTTAAAGGCTAATCAGTAGACTAATTAACAGTGTGCCAGGTATACAGTAACTTTGATGATCAATTTTGTGTTATTTTTACAATATACAGCATTTTGAAAAATGCTCATAACAGTGAGTCAAAACTTTATCAGTTTTTGCTTTGTCAAGCAATTTTTACCAGACTATTTAATTATCATGAGCAAAATCAACAAAAACGTTTATGCTCAAGCAATATTTAAGCACTACTTTATAAGGGGCTTTCAAAAAAGGTTTACAGATTTGCCTGTCATGAAATGACACCGTTTGACCTAAACGTTACAGTAAAGTTTCCTAATACTAATGTTATTTGTAATAGACAGTAATTTTTGCATTTAATGCCATTTGTTTACTGCTTAGATAATTATATTTTGCCTACAGATTATCAAAGAAATATATATCGATTATACAAATAATTCTTTGACAGAAAATGTTTCGCAAATAGACAGATTGATCTTTACGTAAGAAATATTTCTTGCGCAAATGAAGACCAGCAGTGGTAATTGCACCAAAGATAACTGGAGCTAAATTAATTAATTATACTTATAATAAAATCCACAAAATCAGCCTCAAGCTGTCTTGCAAACAAAAGAAGGTGATAGTTGAAGTAGCTAACCAAGCAGATCATAGGCAAGCTATGGCGTCAACTGACTGACTGAATTTGATTACGACTCACACTATCTAAATAGATGAAACTACTAACAGAGTCACGAGAAACCTTGTGCCCAAAAATAATTGTCTAGAGATAATAATCAATAAATATAAAACATCTAACGTCATTTATAGTCACTACAACAGCTGCTAGTGTCAGAGTTGAACAGCCAATTAGTGGTTGCTAATTTCAATCAAAACATATCGAGAAGTGTCTTACACTGCAGTGGATAATTGCTACTTAATGATGGGTGACATTATTGGTGCTGGTGTTGCTGAGTTGTCGCTCACAATCAATGGCAATTATTGCCGGTGTATCAAAAACAAATTCAACTAATTCAATTTAAACATTCAACAATCTACCTATGAAAATGTACAATTAATGTACAGTATCTTTATGAAATTAAGCTTCAAATAATTGTTTAAACACTGGTACTTGTAGATTAGAAGACAACAAATTTGTTTTGTCAAGTGTTGAGTTTCCGCGCTAATTATGACTACTTGTTGCAATCGACCTAGTTCTTATCAGGTAAAACTTTGAGCTCTTTTGTCAATGCACTTTATCAGTACCCGAAATAGTGAAACATTGGTGTGTCATTAGTTAAACTCACGGCGGCGCAGTCAAAGTAGGCACATGTTTGCTTCTCAAGGTTTGTCAAAAAGGCAAAAGTGATTGGAAACTTTCATTTGCACTACAAGTAAGTGCGCAGAGAGTGTGAGGAAAAATATGCCGAGCAAAGTTAAGTGAGCTCTACTTACAAGTTATGAGTAAGAGTCTACCAAATGGTGTCTGTTTAGTGCACGGCAACAAAACAAGGGGATAATCGTTCGTAGGCCAACGAGAAATCGTCAGACATTTTTTTGAATGCGATCAACTAGTGGAGAAAGGGGCTCGCTGTCTCAGTTGGCAGTCCACTTTTGAGACAGTAGACTAGTCTAGTGGTGACTGAAAACTACTGTTTCCTTGCAGACTGGACTGAAATATCGGCTTCCGAGACACCTGCTCGGCGAGCACCAGAATGCCACTCAATGGGTAATGGTGCAGAAAGACACGCACAAGCGCTCATTAGGAGGAGAGCTCATATTCACTAACCATTTCTCTTTTTCTCCCTCTGTCCTCGGAGTTNCTTGCAGACTGGACTGAAATATCGGCTTCCGAGACACCTGCTCGGCGAGCACCAGAATGCCACTCAATGGGTAATGGTGCAGAAAGACACGCACAAGCGCTCATTAGGAGGAGAGCTCATATTCACTAACCATTTCTCTTTTTCTCCCTCTGTCCTCGGAGTTCAGCACTCTTTTCCTGAGTCTGTCAATCTGCAGATCTATTTATTATCTGCTCTCACGGGAGGACTACTGATTTAGTCAAATGGTTGATCTGGTAATAAGGCACAAAATCACCCGTACAAATCACTATTTTTGCTTGACTACTGCTTGACTGTTGACTTTGTAACAACGACTGCTTGCAATTTGTTCAATAATAATTACTTGCTCTACCTTGAGTTCCATGCTGAGCCAAACACTGACTACCTGAACTGAACTGCTTCTAACCTGCTGCTAATTAACACTGAACATCAGTTTTTTAAAAGTTTGTGAAGTATAGCACAGTCGTTGTGCTTCTAGTTGGTTAACCTTGTCTGAAATGCACCAATGGCAATGCCACTTATGACGAAATGTAATTTATTAGCTGTGAGCGTTTTTGTTTTAGCATCATGCAATTGTTATTTCCAAAACCGTAAAAACAATATTTGTAAACAAATTTTTCTTTCATCAATTCTGATGAGCTTGAATGGGTTTTATTATTGAGCTCTGCTAACAGCAGGTTTTTTGGCTTTTGAGATGTCACTTTTAACCAGTGAAAGCTCAATAAAGCATATGTACAGGAGATATGGCAATTATTGACAGCTATGCTTTAGTTTGAAATTACAAAACACCATTTTTTGTAACGTCAATGCACGTTTTCCCAAATGGATAAAAACCAA